GCAAAACATGAAGCACCAGGTGTTGGAATGATTTTGAAATTTGCTGATTATGTTCTTGAATATAGACAACGGATAGCCCAAGAGCTGCAGGCAACTGTAGACAAAGTGACTGACTGGTGTGCACAAATGGAGGCTGTCATCGACTCAGAAAGGCTGCTGTTTTGTGGTCCTCTCTAGACAATATAATTCTGACAGCTAATGTTCCAGCCTCACAGTTAATAACACTAACATCAAAAGAGAAAACAAACTGATGTACCTGGGTATGGCTTTCGATAGGAGCCTATCCTATAGGGATCACGTGGAGGCAGTTGTAGTGGAATGCACACACAAAAATAAATAAAATAAAAAAATAAATACTCAATGCTCTTAAGATTATGACAGCAATGGGCATAGAACAAAGACTGCTGCTCACAAGGTTCCAGCATGTGATCCTGTCGGTTATATATTTTGGACTTGGAATGCTTACCATATCAAAGAGTCAGCTGATAAAACTCGAAAGCATACAGAATAAAGCCATGCGGGTAATTTAGGGATGTACAAGAGATACTCCGGCGCAGTATGTATGCGATATATACTTGCACTGCCTACTATTGCAGTTGGCTCAAAGTTCTAAAGGCAAAGTCAGATCTCAGAGTAGCTGCAGATAAGAGGCACCTTCTGCATGAAGCCTTGGAAAGAGCTTATGTTCACAGACTGAGAAGAGAAAGGTCTTGGATGGCACAAGCTGATGGCACAATCATATATGTGTGCAGCCTTGATAATTTTTAGCGAGAAGAGGAGTGGGTCAAGGTATCCGAACAAGTTTCAGACTTGTGTAGGGTTCTAATTACGTTAGGTCGTGAGTGCAGTGACTGGCCAGCTGGTGCTGCAGACGTTCAGCAAATGATTAATGACAATTCCTGATCAAGTGATGTGATTATCTATACAGATGGCTCTGTGTTGAGGTGCAGACGAAGTGCTTGGTGTTTCATAGCAAAGGCGAATGGACGTCACCTAGTGCAGAAAAGCCTTGCAGATGATTTCAAAACGTTTAATTTGTGAATGGAAGTGATGAAAGTCTCTGATGTCTTTCGCTGGCTTAAGAATCAGCTGTACACACATGCCGTGATTTTAACTGATTCACTGAACATTTTGAGAAAGTTGAAAACATTCATGCTTGGTGCAGAGTGGCAAGCATCACTTTAGAGGTACCGGGTAGTTAGCATCCTTTGGATTATGTCTCTACATCATGCTGGTGTGTTGGGAAATGAGCAGACAGACTGGCTGGCTCTGCACTACTTGGTGGTGAATTTATGTTTTACAAGGTAGATATTGTGAGTGCCCTTTAAGAGCGAGTAAACAGTGCGGAGGCACAGATAGACCATTACAATTAAGGGAGAATGGCGCTGTGAGGAGTTACCAGAGGATCTGGCCGACGGTCAACACTCAGGGGAAGGATGAGACTGATATATACTGTTAAAAAATAAAAACGCACTGTTATCTGAGGACGCGTTTTTGATTAGTTTGTAAATAAAATATCGTACCCGGCTATGTGAAAAACAGACTCAAATGTTTTTTTTTTCTGTGTTCAGTGAAAAAGTGGGCGTGAACTACGTGGATTTTTTGTATTCTTTACAACGCAATGGTCAGTTGTGTTTAAGACCATATTTGGGTCAATTGTAGGCTGGTCTCCCTATTTGCACATCGCTACACACTAGCTCACTTTTGATTGAACGACCTACTGACCACCTCACTTCCGATTGGTCGGCCTAGAGCGATCCGAATTTTACACAAGGTCACCGGAATATTCCGCACTCACGCTCATACCGTGTGTTGTATATTTCACCATGATATAGCTTTTAACACTTCTTAAATAATTAGATACTGGGTCTAATACACAAACCACTAGAGGGTGACATACCCTTTGTCATAGGCCGTCTCTTTCTCGGGAAAAAACTCCCCATATATACCAGACAACAACAGACTGCGTCACCCATAACCTCGACCACAGTAGACTAGTCCAACCAACTTATCAATGAAGTTGACCTACAACTGGTGGTGTGCAAATGGGAAGATCATTGTAAAAATAACCCCATATTTGTGAGCATAGCTGACGATGCGCGCACCTTAGAGCAACACAATTTGCGGTGAACACTATTCACTGCCTTTGCCTATTAAAACCTCAAAAAAGGATCATGCGTCACTAAATCGATCAGAACATTTTCAGTCAGTCCCGAATAGCACCCCTATCGATAAATTTAAGGAATATTGCTATTGGCCGATTGCAGGCAGGAGAAAGTCAAAGTCAGGTTGCCAGGCATCTAAACGGGCGTCAGAGTACCATCAGTCGACTTTGGCACCGGTTCTAAGCCGCTGGTTTGATTAAAGACCAACATCGCAGTGAACGACCCAGAGTGACAAGAGCAGCAAAGAATCGCTTTATTCGTCTTCGTCTCCCCAGAGACATGTTTTCAAAAGTTTCCTCAACTGCACAGGCATTGCCTCCAGTACGTCATGGGTCTGATCGAACTGTTCAGAACAGACTGCATGATGTTGGACTATGGGCTCGACGACCACACCAAGGACCTGTCCTTACATGTCGCCACCGCCAAAATCGACTCCTTTAGGCCAACCAACATCGACCCTGAGCAAGTGACAATCAGTGGAGATGTATCTGGTTCAATCACAAATCTTTCGTTTCGTTACAGCACCATGATAGACGGCGTAGGGTCGACCGTAGACGAAATAAAGGCACATTGAAGGAAGGTTAAATGCGCAACAATACGTCCATCCTTCGACCACATGTCTGTCTTTTTTTGAGATGCCAACATAAATCTTTTTCAACATAACAGCGCCAGACCCCATTCTGCACAGCTGACGACGCAGTTCATGGCTGCCAATAACATTCAAACCATTCCCGGACCATCCCTGTCTGCAGACATGAGTAATTTTTTAGCACCTAGTAGGATGAGCTGCAAAGACGTGTTTGTCGCCGAAACGTAGCTCCAGCCAATAGTCGTGATTTGTTGCAGGCACTCCAGGAAAAGTGGGCAGCCATCCCAAAGGCCCACATCAGACATCGGATTGCATCCATGCCCAGGAGATGCCAGTCACTGATCCACGCAAGAGGAAGCCACACACCATACTAACAGGAATGACCTACGGGTAATTAAAAACAATCGTGATCAAGATGAAAAAAAAAGGTGTCAATTGATTGGGGAACCCTATTCTTGTGTGAAATTTGAGTAATTTCACGTACTGCCTTACAAAGACGCAGGGTGTCTAAATTGTGGGTGTTTGTCCCTTTCAATAAATGCGTTTTCTACAGTACAATCACAGTTACTGGTACTATCGGAATTGGAACTCTTCGCTTGCTGCTGAAGATGGGGACTAAGCACTTATGAGAGTGTCCCGAGAGTTGTGATATCAATTCTGAATTCAGTATTGAACATTCAACATTCAACTCAATACCTCCCCTTATGGGTTCAGGGGCCCTATTATAGGGAAAACAAGAATAAACCCACTGTCTACCTAAAGTATGTCGTAAGAGTTGACTAACTGGGAGCTTCCTTTGAAGTCGGAGTGCATCTGCCTGAGAGGCAAAGGAACAAGCAGTCTGTATTCAAATGAGTCAAGTCTGTAAAACGGATGAACACGCAACACTCAGGTTCTGAAACAGGTCTGCAGTCCAGAAGTGGATTAACAACCAGAACTTTCCGCTAGAGTTCACCGCTGGTGAACGCGAACAAGAAGAAGAAGTAGAAGTAGTAGTAGTAGTAGAAGAAGAAGAAGAAGAAGAAGAAGAAGAAGAAGAAGAAGAAGAAGAAGAAGAAGAAGAAGAAGAAGAAGAAGAAGAGAAGACAGAAGAAGAAAGAAGAAGAAGAAGAAGAAGAAGAAGAAGAAGAAGAAGAAGAAGAAGAAGAAGAAGAAGAAGAAGAAGAAAAGAAGAAAAAGAAGAAGAAGAAAAAGAAGAAGAAAAAAAATACCTTATCATTCATGTCCTGCTTGTGCATATCATTATAAAGTAGTGGAAGCCGGCCTCGACATTTTTTACAAACAGAATATTTTTATACACTGCAGTATGAATCTCTAAATTGGGGAGCAAGGACTAAATATCTATACCATCTGGACATGTATATTATCAATCATGAAACTCATCATAATCAACATCACCATCAGTTTCCAATTCTGCCGTTAAGCTCCGTTGAGTGGAACAGTTTGCGAGCCATCGATTGATGGGCAGCAATGGCTTTGTCATTCCGTGTCGATCTAGAAGCTCTTTAATGTCATCAGCTCACATTCTCCTGGGGCGGCCTCATGGCTGCAGTTCAGATCTTTTTATGTATGGCGCCTGCGTTGGTAATTGTTCTGCTGCATTCTTACTGGAGGACGAAAGCATTTTATCTTCTATTTCTCAATAATTTTGCTGCATGGTGTTGTTCCTATAGTCTGATGATATTATTTATGACTGTCTAAGATGGTTAAGTTGGCCGATTTCTCAGATATCTCATTTCACATGTGTTGATTTTACGTATGATAGTCTTTGATACGTCTGGTACTGGTAGCACAGTATTTGGTATGAATATGCGGTCTATAATAATAATGATAATTATACTTGTATGTCTTAATAACGGTGTCATCTGGATTATAAGTGCCCCGCCTCGTCGGAATCTTGTCTCTATATGCCGATGTTTTCTCCCGTCCTACGAGAAAATGCTTCATAGATATTTTTTTTTAACTAGCTGCAGACAATTTCCATTTTATCCAATATGTAGCGGACCATGAATTATGCTGAATAAAGAAACTAAATGAACTTAGTCGGCAATACACTTATAACGATTTTGCTTTCTTTTTTACTGGGATAATTAAAAGTGCCGGACACTGCTGTGTTCACACACATACACACACACACACACAAGTGCGGCGGAAAAAGGGGAGCGGGGAAGGGACGGAACTTAATATCTTCAATAGTTTGTATAAAATGGTGTATATGCTAATACATTTGATAACTTTGTTTCCAGGACGTAATGTTGCTCTGGGACAAGACACAACACAGTCTTCTACTAAGGATAGTCAGGATTCAACGCATGCTGTTGATGGGGATACCAATCCTGATATTATCATTACAGCTGTACCCATACTAATAGGGAGCAAAACCCTTACTGGAAATTGACATTTGTATTGTCACACCAGGTGCACCGATACATCATATATAACAGAAACAGTAAGTGAACTCCGCGACCCATCATGTATCAATACGTAAATCTTATTTAGTGATTGGCATGAAAGTGGAATACGGTGTAGCCCGCAAGGGAGTCGGAGCGGGCTGGCGTTAGTTGCAAGCAGTATTTCCGAAGTTACTACTTTCAACCCCCCCCCCCCCCCGTGGGTTCCGGAGCCCCATTGTGGGCTCTAGGGCCTAATTGTGGGAAAAACAAGAATAGACCCAATGCCTTCACAAGAAGCATGTGATAAGAGTCGGCTAACTGGGGGCTTCCTTTGAAGTCGGAGTGCATCTGCCTGGGAGGCAAGGAACTAGCAATCTGCATAAAAATAAGTCAGATCTATAAAACAGATGCACACGCAAAACTCAGGTCCTACAACAAAGCCAAAGCCAAAACTTGCGGCACTGGAACACAATACATGTACCTGAAGGAGAACAGTTGTCGTTTATACCATCGGTCATTACATTTGTTACAGAAGAACATTATAAACAAATAGATAAGGAATGGAAGGAACTAACAATAGGTAGGTAGGTTGTACCCCACCAGGACATCACACAAGCGATAAACACCCGGTGACACAAAGTGCCACCATGTGGATGAGGATCACCTGTGGAGACGACTTGGAAACCCCTTTCTGTTGTTTAGCCATGTTTATGGCCCGGCTATATTCAGGGCCCTGGCAAAAAAAAAAAAACAGGGTGGGGCTTTAAAAAACGAAAATTGCATCCCACATCTGGACGACTTGTTATATGAACAACAGAACTAACATTGCAAGATCAACCAACTAAAACAGACAAAATATCAGGAACATTTTAGTTTACAATTTCCTAAAAAAAGCGAATGATATGAACATCTTTTTCTATATGTACCAAAATGTATTCCTAATCTTTTTACATTTAATCTTTCTGCGTTTCCGTGACTGTGTTTTTTAAAAAAATGTTTTAACCTTGTGTGTGTGTGTGTGTGTGTGTGTGTGTGTGTGTGTGTGTGTGTGTGTGTGTGTGTGTGTGTGTTGGGGGTGCCTTCTGGAGTGTCTTGACAGCACCAGTAACGGTCTTATTGAATATTTGTCTCGGCGCTTACCTTCAGCGTTCACCCTGATTGATCTATCTGTATCTCCCCTATCGTTCAATTTCCCCCCCCCCCCACCCCCATAAGCTCCTACAACAGCTAGCTTGTTATGCATCATCAACCAAGTTGTGCAGAATCAGCCTGTCTATCTGCCTGTCCATTTCCTAACACACCGGTATGACTAGGAGAACATATCCATATTTTGTAACTAACTACCTGGGACCCCTGACTCGATGCTTCAACACGGCATGGAGCCAATTTGTTTCTACTTTGCTGACCATGCTTTGTAAGTCAGTTTCAATTACGAAACTTGTTCTCAAGCCAGCGCAGGGCCTCCACCTCAATTCTCACACTATATGTTGTGGTATCCTATCCCAGGCTTTGTTGCACTAACGACTAAACAACGTTTATTTGCTTTTGATAAGGAACACTATTAACTTCGTGCAACTCTCAAAACAGAATCATCTGTAAAATGATCACAACATCTGGACGAGAATGGTCATGTATTATTTGTTGAACTTCTGATTTTTTTTTTATTTCCCTCTACATCAAAAGTTGTAAGAAAGGATCCTTTCATGATAAAAAAGAGAAAGACATTTGCAAAGTTTATTAAGGATATTTCCAGCAAAGCAGTTAGATTCGGCTTGAAAACATCGTAGTTAATTTTTAAAATATATCCAGTTTGATCTTAACAACTGTGTATGTGGTTTGAAAAAGATTCACTTTTTAAAACTTAAAGTAGTAAACATTTTCCTGTTGCGATATTTTAGCCGATCAAGTCAGACTGCGGGGATTTACTCTGGAGGCTTATCAACGAAACAACCGTGTGGCATTTATGTATACAGCTTCCACTTATACCAACCGCGACATCTACATAATCGAGTCTACTGCTCCACAGATACCGGTATCTAGTGTTACAATTTTTGGTCGATATGAGAGCGATCCCTACTTGACACTGTGTGAGGTGGAGATGTTCGGAGGTAACGACTGCTTGTTTACAATTATTAGGACGTAAATTCACTGTCATCTACTATCAGTTCAGTATTAATTTCTTTTTATTAACAGTAAGATTCATACCTGTCTGTTTTCATCTACTGTCAAAGTCAACCCTGTTTCTTTTCTTTTACAGTCAGTGTCACACTTCCTTTTCCTCTACAATTAGTCTACCCTTTATCTACAACTAGTGACTACGTTTTCATCTACAATTAGTCCACCCTTTATCTACAACTAGTGACTACGTTTTCATCTACAATTAGTCTACCCTTTATCTACAACTAGTGACTACGTTTTCATCTACAATTAGTCTACCCTTTATCTACAACTAGTGACTACGTTTTCATCTACAATTAGTCTACCCTTTATCTACAACTAGTGACTACGTTTTCATCTACAATTAGTCTACCCTTTATCTACAACTAGTGACTACGTTTTCATCTACAATCGGTGTGTGTCCTTCACTTGCAGTCTGTGAACCGTTTCATGCAATCAATGTCTAGTTCAGTATCTACAATTCATATATTACCACCGTCTATATTTCAGCTACAGTCAGTGTCTATCACTTCAACCACATTCAATGTCTACATTTTCATTTATAATCTGTGTCTAAACGTTGTCATTTAAAGTGCGTTCATTGTTATAAATCACCTTACTTTGATTTTATGGCTGTTTTATTTATGTTTAAATTACATATACATATTTTGCTGAGTACTGATATTTAAATTATATCACTGTTTATATACTGTATAGCATTAGTGTGGAATCCGTGTATGGTCTGTTGGAATGTTACTCCTATTATTGACTACACTGACCAGTCTGAAACGAGGCAGCAATATCTTCTCGATTTACTGTTTAATCCACTAGTGCATGTGAGATTTGGTTCAAGAAGTGAACATTTAAACGGAAATATACCGGGAAATAAACTGTTCTCTTTTCATTAACATAGCTTGAGTTAGCAGAGAGGGATAATGTCATTTACATAGACGGGTCTGGGGTTAGCAGAGAAGCTCTTGAGCTTTTACAGCTCAGGTAGGAGTTATAATTGTGAATCAAGCTTTCACCTTGACTACAAGTAGTCTGACAATGGAGGTCATAGCAATGGCCAAAGCAATAACATGGCTGCAAACTCAAACCTTTACTAGTACATGTTTTTTATGTGACTCAATGAGTATGATCAGGACAATATAAATGGGCTGGGTCTGAAAACAGAGCCTGCAGACGTTTAGGCGGTCGGGGCTGACACACATGTTTCATTTTCGTGCCCGAGCACACATGCGTGCACGGAAATGAGCCAGCTGATAAGCAGGTAAGGTTATAGTGGCCGGATGACGGGCCATCGACAAAGCTGGTATATTGAATGCTCTATGAGAAGTAAGGCGTTTGCGAGAACCAAGTGGGGACTGTAAATCTGCAACCATTACCAGACTGCAAGAGCAGAATGTTAAAAGGGGTGTTGCTAGACGATATGTCATCACACGCTTTACTTAGAAGGGGTCTTAAGCAGTTATGGACTAAAGGGTGTGATGTGTAATGAGAATAATTTAACTAACTAATTCATAGCGATGGAGCTCATCGCCACAGTCACCATGTACATTACTTTCCCCGCAGTAATCATCGCCGTTACTGTCAGTGCATTGCAGACATTCTAACAATATATATCTGTCTGTCTCTCTCTCTCTCTCTCTCTCTCTCTCTCTCTCTCTCTCTCTCTCTCTCTCTCTCTCTCTCTCTCTCTCTCTCACACACACACACATACTTTTTCTCTCTCTCTCTCTCACACACACACACTTGTCTATCATTCTTTCTCTGTCTCCTTCTACTCATTCTCTTTCTGGTCTTGCCATCGTCAAATTTGTTTTTCTTTTTATTATTGTATTGTATGCAGACACCAGCGCAAAGCTTTGATATTAGTACCTGGGGCAGTATATGTCTGAGCTGCCTTTTTAGTCTTCCCATAACGGCTCAGAAGATATTCATAATTTCCATTTAAAATGTCATCCGTCACAGTGCAGTATCCATTTCGTAAAGTAATACGTAACCGTTCCGTTTTTCTTGCATCATTCTACTCTGATGTTATCCAGAAAAAAAAATGAATGATTTCAGTGAGGCTCTCAGGTAAAGTCAATTGAAACGTATTGTAGTTCGTTAGTGGAGAGTCAAAACAAGTGAGCTTTGGTTAGAAGCTATTCAAGGAAACGCTAAATCGTATAATGTCAGCATACTTGTCTAATTCTGCAAGCCACACTGGTTGTATATCTTGATACGAGCAAGGTTTTTACGTCCAGTTTTAGTTATTAAAACAGGCGGGAGCTACTAAATGACGCCGGGCTGGTAACTAGAAGTAGGGCATAATATATATCAGATATTATTTTTTCAAAAACTAAGATACACCAAACATATTTGGTATAACTAAAAATCTTTGCATATTCAAAAAAAAAAAAAAAAAAAAAAGGAGTGCCAACAGTCTATTCCACAGAAAATTTGCAGATGCTAGAACCAGTAGCAAATGTTTCGTTTCTTGGACATTCACTAAGAAATAATGGCTGCACTGCCACAGCTTCTACACTATTGATGAGTATATTGACAGACAAACGACACACACACACACACACACACACACACACACACACACACAGGCGGATTGTAAGTTTAAAAAACATTACCTAATACCACCAACAGACACAGTGTGTCCAGCAGGACTGTACGGAAGAGAATGTGAGAACAGATGTAACTGTGCCAAGGCTGGAGAAAACTGTTTCGTCAGTACTGGAGGATGTCCTTCAGGTTGTGCTGCTGGCTACCACGGGGAAGGATGTAAAAAAGGTAAGGATTTTCTTCCTTTCTTTTGAATCAGTTTTTTTCTTCACTCAAACGTTTCATAAATTCCTTTCTGGCGTGAAGCCAGAACACACTTTTGGCAGTAGTTTTTTTTTTTTAAAATACGGTCATTGCTATAAAAAATTCGAAAGTGGTAGATTTGGAATAAACCTTAACGTAAATATAACGTACGCGAATAAACTTACTAGTTATCTGATGAAAGCTGTCTGTCTCTCCGTCGGCATGCATATCTGTCTATCTAGTATTTGGCTCAGTAGTTGTGAGACAAGTAACTTTAAAAAGTACTGTGCATTGCATCTAACGCCGGCTAGTACAATGTTTCATGTAACTAACAGATGACGACATTTCAACTGTTTCTCTTTACTGATCTCGGATATAAACTAGTTTTGCAAGTGAAGATTTTGTTTTTGTCCTTGTCATTGGCCTTATATTAAAAGTATTATGTCCAAAACCATCAAATGTTTGTTAGGAGATGGGATATTTTGCAAACTGAGTAATCTAGTTATTACGAACATTGTAATGAGCGCTTTCAGAGTAGTAGTAGTCGAGTCTTATAAGACCCTGAAAGGCAGTTGTCAACTTATTCTGTTAGTCCTCCCCATGTGCGACGCAATTGTCGTTATTTGAAGCCCCATCCTGGATTTTGCAGGGGGCCCTAAAAATATCCGGGCATTTAATATGGTCTAACGGCTGAACAGGATTTCCGAGACCTCTTCACTGGTGATCCTCGTCCGCATGGTCGCACTTTATGTCACCAGGTGTTTATCGCTTGTGTGATGACCTGCTGGGGTACAACTTACCTACCTACCTAGTTGTCAACATAATTAATTAATTCAGGATGTAGTGCCTTAATACATCCAGTTTGAAGAGACATTGTGAGTTAAAGATCATTTTTTCACACTGTGTAACTGGAGTTAATAAAGGAATGCAAACAAAGTTCCTTAAAAAAAAGTCATGTGGTCTGATGAATAAAAAAACTACTTTTCCATCATCAAACAGGATGTGACGAGAAGTACAATATGCACAGAAATTTATGTATATTTGTCTTTAACGGGGGGGGGAAACAAGGGCATACATAGGTACATAAATATATACATAATATACGTTCATACAGGCAGGTTTTCATACAGACCCATCATACATACATACATACATACAGACACATTCAGTCGAACATTTAATACATACAACATGGAAAATACATACATAAAAAAAATACATACATACATA